CTTAAATTTTTCATTAGAGTATAGAATCTTATTTTTTTTATTTTGTACAAGCTGCGCTTTTTTAATTATAATCACTGAAAAATTCACTATAATTTGATTTTATAGGATTTTTGTAGCATTACAAAAATATAGTAAAGCTGAGGTTAATACCTGTTGTGGCTAACCATATAAAAGTATTAAATCTTAAACTTGAACAAAAGTCATATTTTTTTTTACTAGATGTTAAATAGGGGAATATTTTGTTCTGCAGGTCATTATCACAAAAGGTTTATAGGTCAGCTGTGTTACCAGCAGTTTTTCTTTTCCCATTTGATGCAGAAACTATTCTGGTATAAGATATTCAGAATTTCATAATTTTTCTCTGTGGGAGTGATGCATACATTTGATGCCATTCGTGTACTAAATTGTAATTTTGGGAATGCTGGAATAATTCCTACCAAGACTGTCTTAATTGTGCCATCTGACATTTGAATGTCATCCTGGTATTAGCTCATAATAAAAGATAAAAATAAATGAGTCAATTGTTCTTTGGAATATCCCTTTTTCTGTCTTGCTATCTAAAAGCTGAACTGCTGGAGAACATTTAATATTTGAGTCCACTCTTAACTATACAGTGGGTGTTTACTTTGGGTCTGTTCTCTTTTTAACTCCCAACCGGCTCTCACTGTTAATCAAAAAGTGCATCAAACATTGAGGGAGATTATTGCTGTTCTTAGGACAGATGCGTGGCTTTTGGTTGGGTTTTTCAAAGTTCTGTCTCTGCAGCGGGATAGTTGCTGTTTTCATTTTCCCAGTTTAAAGGGAAATCCTTTACCCTGAGGGGTAAAGGAGGAGGGGAAGTTATTAAGAATGAGGCAAATAACTTAAATATTCTTCCTGCAGATCCTTGATGATATACTATGTGCAGTTCCTATGTATGAACTTCTACAGATTGTTCTCTTCTAGATGAACTTGGCTTTGTAGCTGTACTCGAGAAACAAACTTGAGCTGCCTTAGTAGAAATAAAGGTAATCCCTGTCGTGTTTTTCATCTTTCAGTTTACTGGAACTAAATACATTCAACTGGTGAATGAGATGGATGTGAATAGCAATTAAATGCAAATTTAAACATATGCTAATCCAAGTGACCTGTTTTTTTTTTTTATTAGTAGTAAGTAGGTAGGCCCAAAGTGTAACTGTGGATCTAAATCACTGTCTTTCATGACAGCTTTGAAAGGAAAGGGAGGGAGGAAGAATTCCGCTTAGAAGTTAAAGGACCTGATGGATGCTACTTCTGATGGGTCTGTCTTACCAAGGGCTGGTACCTTCACCTAGGTTCTTGGGCTCTTACGAAGTGGCTGCTGATTGCCATTTGTCATCCTCTTCTCTGTTCTGGCTCCTGCAGAGTCAGATGTGTGCTGGGTGTCTGTGTGTCTGTGTGTGGAAAGCAGGGCAGCTAACCCTGGCCTGAGTAGGCTTGATAAGGAAGAGTTGCATCTTAGTAGCATGATGCCGACAAGCCGATCAGAGAGGATGTCATTCATGGATGTAAGTCACTCGCTCTTTTTCCTCTCTGTAACTAAGATGAGAATAGCTTGTTTCATTTATGAAGTGTAAATCTAAACTGGTTGATCAAAATCTCTTTTTAGTTCTTTGGTTTTTAATAAAATGTGCTTGATAATATTACTGGGTTTGGATAATTTTCACTGGATCTTAAAGGAAAAAAGAATTCTTCGACAGAGAGAAAATGAAAGACAAATTGTTCCCTGGTCCTATCTCTGACCAATATCCACCCTTATTCTAATAAGGTGTTGTTACTACCATGTGGTAGACAAAGCCCAAAGGGTCAGCAACAATCCAGGGCTGACTTAAAGCACTGACACCATGTTCTGTTGTGCTCTACAAAATAGTCTTGGTGAGCTTTACAGGCCAGATGACACTGTCGAGTTCTTGTGTTGATTTTTTTTCTTAACCACAAGTGTTAATACTTCTAAATTAGTTTTATATTTTTTAGTAATAATGCTGGCCTTGCATGCCGTCCCTGATGCCTTAATTCCTCACTGTACAGAATCTGTCTCAGATATTGAACTACCTGTTGAGGTAAGTAGTTTATAAATACTTTTGTTCTATAGCAAAAGAATATTTAGTTCAGGTTGATTTCTTTCAAATTTCCCTGCATACTTTCAACGTGTAAAACAGCGTGTTTCTTGATACGTAACTACCTTCCTAGTTCATCTTGGGTCTGCCAGTCCAAGTTGTTGGTCCTGACAGACCACTCCAGCTTTGTCTGTCATGGAATCATAGATTCTGTGATGGAACATCAAGCTTTCCTCACCATCTCCTGTTGCATAAGCAGCGGGGCTGCCATGTACTCACCGTGGGGATAAGGCAGTGAGAAAGCATGCTTGTTCCTCAGATCTTTTCATTTAGTCAGCAGGGTGGTGGCTCTGCTTTCAACACAACTGTGTGAAGCAGCTGGTGCATCTCAGAATCTGTACCTTCCCAGTTAACATTCCAGGAGTGGATGAGGTGATTTAGACCTATTGTTCTAAAAAGATTTTTGAAAGACTATCACAGAGCACTGGAATTGTGATGAATGGCTACCCATTACTGGTAGGCAGTGAATTTAACCAATATTCAAGTAACAGGAAGTGCATTTCCTTGCTCTAACATCATGTGCAAGTCTAATGAATTTTAGTTTATATTTTCCTAGAGAGGATTTTTTAATTAAAAAGTGATTAAGCTATTGGTATTAGCATTTCAGAAAAAGCTAATTCAGGTAAGTTGCAACTTGTATTTTGCCCTGTTGGTTATTACATCTGCCCTTATTAATTGTGAATTGGATTTAGTCACACATTTTACTCACACAAGCAAAGCTTTTTTTAAAGGTGCTATTTGTTGACTAAATTAAATATAGCATTCAAATTGTTTACGTAGAACTCCCACAATATCTGTATGAAGGTAAAAATCTTAAACTCTAGCTAAACTGTATGTTCATGATTAAGTGTGGGAAAGTCTGGTTGTGTAACCAAGTGAGCTGCCCAGGCCTCAGTGGGCCCACCCGAGGTTCAGAATCCAACCTTAAGTTCCCCCTACTCTTTTTTTGTTCCGTGACTGATTCAGTTCTTGCCCATCTCTCGAGGGAAGTTCTGCTGCAGCAGCAGTCTGAATATCGGCACTGATGAAATTTAAGTAACAAACAGTTCTGATCTTGTATGAATGTCAAATGCAAGCTGAGGCGTAGCTAGATCTCCCTGAGGAAACAAAGAGGAGTTTGTTCTGACTACAGTGGAGGTACAGGTGCAAGCCCTTTACAGCACAGCTCTGGCTGTGGCCAAGCTCCCATTCTTCCCTGCCAGCCTCAGGACTGCTCTAACACCATTCAGCTGCACATTCTCCACACTAAGCACCTCACCTGCTGGGAAAGGCTTCCATGAGAGCCAGTCTCTTCTACTCCCATAAGTTTCCAATTACAGACTTGGAAGCTTTTGCCTGCTTTCTTTAAGCTGGAGCCTTTTTCCCCAGTCACTCAGATACCATGGTGGAACAATTGTAGGGCACATTTACACAATTAGCAAACACACAGCATGCTATAGCAAAACCCAGGCTGAACATAAAATGATACCTCTTAGCTTGAATCTCCCATCTCATTAGAGCTTTACTCAGCATACTATAGTCTACTAGTATTACACTTTTAGCTGCACCTTTAAGGGCACTCTCCCATCATGCCCTGTCAGCCCTATAAATCTGGCTGTCAGCTCTAACTTCATAGTACTCAGTCATCCTGCCTGGTCATTTGAGTTGCTACATCATTCATCAAGTAAATGTTTAACTTTTTTGATGCTCTTTTTTCCCTAATTTAGAAGTTTCCTAAAGGTATTCAGTTAAGACAAGCTCAAGTTAATGGCAATTCAGTTTGACTTTGCTGTAACATAATAATTTGAGTGGCATTTTTTTTTAGTCTTATCTGAATAGCAAGGTGAAAAAAGACAAGCAAGGAAAAAAAAAAGTAAGATTGTGTATAAGTTAGGCCTATAATTGGCATGAAGACTAGTCATGAATAAGTTGCAGCACTTGGAGGTTTTTTGTTTTTCACAGACATTAGTTTAACTGGAAAAGTATACCTAGCAGTGAGCTGTTGTTTTGTGCTTCCATGTAAGTTAATACTGAAACAGTAATGAATCTTGTTTCTTTATTCAACATGCACCAAACAAATAGATTGAAATGCATTTATTCTCTCTGATTTTTATGCATACTACAAATTGCAAATATAGTATAAAATAGATTCTCCCCTGTAAGAAAATCTGGTTCCTGTTACCACAAAAATATAGTATTAAAGATTTGTTTTAAAAATACCAACTTTATAAAATGCTAAGTAAAAAACTAACAATCGCTGGTTGGTTTATGCGTTAAGCCAAAGATCCATTAGAAGTCTACAAGAACCTAAAGGGGAAGTGTCTAATCCTTGTGGCTTACCTCCAGGTACAGTGAGAAACAGTTGCTGTTACAGGTGCATGAATAAGAAGCTAACTTCTCGCAACTATTGGGCAAGCATTAAAGGATCTTTAATTCCAAGTGTGACAGGTAGCTCTAATTCTCACTGTAGTCCACAGTATAAAATTTGCTCGTAATCTTAATAACAGGAGGTTGACCTTTTGGTTTGAGTCATGTTAGAAGGATAAATACGATTTAGTACAGTGTGGAACTCTAGTAAACTTTTACATAAAATGTTGAATTAAAAAGCTGCTTCAAGAAGTAACGCGGCTTTTTTCAAGGATTGTTTCCTACAAGAATCACAAGAGGAGCAATGCTGGCTTTTCTGTATTCATTATGAAAACTTACTTTCTATACTTAAGAAGGTCAAGTTAACATTTTCTGCACTGTTTTAAATACTGGAACATTTCATAGAAGCACGATATCTAGAATTTGGAAACTCGTTCCTTGTGCCACCTACAATTTAATCTGCAGTAAACTGAAAAACCTTAGCTTGAATGAACTGTAAAACAAGTTGTTTGACATGCTTTAGAAAATCTGTAGATGCATAGATGTAGCTCCATCCTTCCACTTGTTAACATGGTCTGAAATAACAGTTCTGCAGAGTGGACACGTTTTTTCTCTATTAAACCATAAAGAGATGCATTCTTCACAAAATGTGTGCTGTAATGAAAAGAATGAGAACTTAGAGCTTCTAAGCTCTTCCATTTATAAGACGGTATATTATCTGCATAGCGTGATTTCTAAAAATAATCAGAAGTCACATACACTCACTAATCTAACTTTATGTTGGTTTGTTTACCAGGTGTTTAAAATATTCTTAAGTTTGAAAAAAAAAATTTGCATTATGTGTATTACCTGACAGATAAGCAGAATAGGCTTCTGAAATTCAGCTTGGCAGATTGAACAAATATCATCCGATTCAGAACACTGTCTCTTGCTAGCCGTCACCCCGTAGTGCTGTAAAACAAGGTATTTTCAGCAGATACTAGTTTCTAGGTGGGAGGGGAAGCCAAAACAAAGCACAAAAATAAGAGGACAGAAAGGAATTGGGAATAAGGGCTGCTGGGTCAGGAAAACTGTTCAATCCCTAATCCAGTGAAATGTTGCCAAGTTTTTTAATAGTTGTCTTGGGGCCTAAAGCTTATGTGCTCCTACTTGCCATGCTGTCTAGTTATCTAGTTGTCTAGTACCTTCCCCTGATCACAGTTACTGGAAAAATCTGTATCGGTGTTATTTTAACAGTGACCTCTGAGCAAAACAATGTGTTAAATTCCAATCTGATCAAGATAGCACTTAAAAAATGAGAAGGGCTTTATTATTCTTTTAGTTCAATTACACTGTGCTCCAATATCTTTTATACATTTTACTGCCCGGATAGCAGACTCTAAACAATACCTTTTACTACAGAGAAAAATTATCTAGAAACTTATAATTCTAACAGAAGTTTCTTGCATGTCAATTATTTTGGCAAGCTTCAATACGGACTATATTTCAGCCTAAAGCTGCAACCTGCATCCAACCAATATTCAGTTAGGAAGCAGGACAAAAAGGGTATGTTATTTCACATATGCTTTTCAGAGAGACATGCAGAATAGACTTTTTGGGGGTTTTCTTGTTGTTGTTCAGGTGGTAACGTAATCACGTAGTCAGGGAATTCAGACTATGAAATCCGAGGACAAGTATACAGGATTTACTTTAAAAATGCAGTTGTCTATTGCTAGAATAATACAAACTAATATAGGAATAAGGTATTTTAAAAAGTATTTTCATGAAAATTGGGTTGATTTTTGTCATAAGAGAATTCAGTACTCACTGGTCGTGTACAAAATATCCGTAAAACCTGCCTGAAGTTTCTCAATTGTCCAAAAAAGCTCAAAAGCTGAAATGGGAAAGAAAACCTGAGTTACGCTTAGTATTCTTCTCTGTGAACTGAAAAGCTTCCAAGCTTTTGTGCAGATTCCAACACTAGAGGTCTTACTGGTAGTTTGATGTTGGCAGAAACATAAGCAAAACTATAGTTCAGACTGACCCTATTTCAGTTGCTTAATATGCAACCAAACTAAGAATTTAGCCTGAAGTTTTTTTCAGAGAACAACAGTGTTGAGGTTCTGAAATGAAGCACTCAAGTGCAGATATATCAGCATTATCATCATATATGCAATAGTCTTCAGACTTATATGTAAGATACCTTAGCATTACAAAGTATTTTAGATGTGCAAAGCTGAATTTGTACTGAGTCTGGTTACATCTGGGGCAGATTCGCTCTTTGGTGAAGTAGACAGCCAGTATGAACATTTACGCTTAACTTGTTTAGTATCACACATTATACTCTAGCAGGAAGAAAATCTAGTTTCCTGGAAATTGCTGATTCTTTTAACCCTTAATTTTACCTTTATTTTTGCAAGCTGTCTTCCTCAGCATCTGGTAACAGTCTGATCAATGTCTGATGTGAGGGGACCTATAGTACCAGTGTTCTTTGCTATGCAACCTCAATCCATTCCACAACAGGTGCAGGAAAAAGACGACTGAGTCCCCTGAGCCAGTATTCCTGTCAGTTTTGGAAGGCTGTATTGGTTCAACTGAAGCATCGACTTGCAGGTCAGTTCAAACACAGGGGAACGTTCAGAAACGTGTTCATTTATGTGTCTCTAACCCTCCAGTGATAATTACTGCAAAATCGTTTGAGAGGAATATAAAGCTTACATACTTTTAGGATGAGGTAGAGAAGGCCCAGCAGTATCCCAAGGGTCCATCCTAGTACACTGTCCAGCTCCCCATAGCCAATAAGATAACGGAACCAAACTGGTATGGGGACAAACATACGGTAATACTGGCAGAGTTCTTCTAACAGCATGTACCAGTAGCCCTAAGCAAGACATGCAAAGGAACCGCTCAAGATTTAAAACACAAAGGATTTTTAAAATATAGAGAAAAAATGCATTGTTATTCTTCTGAGTAACTTCCTCTCATAGTATCTTGAAACAACTAAATAGGAAGCATGAAAAAGAATGAAGACCAGATAATGAGTCTCACCACAACTGTACAAATAGAACAACTGATTGCCGTACTGCAGAAAATCAAATTAATAGGCTAAAATAGGGTGGCTTTGTCAGATACCTACCTGCTTAACAATGCTATCAGACTTAATTTCATAAGCATGAACAAAGAAAATAGAAGTTACACGAAAAAGGAAAATAAGACAAATTTGGTCACATAGATCAGCTTGTCATTAGCAAGAGTTGTGTCCTGCATTCAAGATTAAAAAATGAGAGTAAGGCACATTCTTTTACTAACAAACATAAGTTACAAACTGTTTTCCTGTAAACGTTATTTCATGCCTGTGTAAGAAGCCTTATCTGGTGACAAATAACTCCTGTATAGGATCGGGTGGTAGGAAAATTATGGGGCCAGGAAAGAAGCATAGGGTCGCTGGACTGAACACGTAAACAGTTCAATGACACCCTAAAAATGACTGAATAACAACTGGAGAGCACAAGTGTCCTGCACAGAGCACATATAATCATAAATATTTAGCTAAGCTCTTACTTTATTTCCTTGTCTTTAAAACTAGATTTATAACAGGGAAGAAGTACTCTTTCTATAATGTATGCTGGATAATATTAGCTTTAAAAAACAAAAAAAATCTTGATTACAAAGTGATATTTACAGAAATTGGTGATCACTGAGAAAAAACTTCACCCTGGTACATTTGACAAGATAAAACCTACCAAAACATCCTGTTCAAATGTTATCATGTACAAGCTGTACTTGTTTTTTGTTTTGTTATTTAAACAGTACTAGTATTTGCTATTTTGACAGAAAATTTAATTGTTTTTTGCATGTCTCACCTTAGGAAGCAGATAAAAATAAATACCCCACCAACCAACGTAGGCTCCTATAAAAATCATTAAACTTCACTGGTTTGAGGAATTAAGCTATGAATCAAATTCACTGATCTGACAAATATTGCTTAAGTTTATTAACAAAAAGAAAATTCAGATTTATTTTGAAAAGACACAAAATACAGCTGTTGGCATGTGCAGATCTTAAAATCTTCCCATGTCAGTCACTGTCAAGCATGTAAAAAATTTACTGTGCATCAGATTCTGTGTATACACATTCTTACACTGCAGCATATAAAAGGTTTCTTCATCCCCCCCACTCAGAGACAGAAATAAACCCATTTATCCGATGACATAATACAAGCAATCGTTTCAGATCGGACTGTTAACCGTCCTTAGCACCAGGCAGGGAAGAACATGAAATCCACAGGGTTTTCTCACCCACAGTGTAGTGGTGGATTATATATGGACTTTTAATTAAAAAGACCCTTGTCTGGGTGGAATTTAATAATTAGCTAATTTTACCGTAAAAGGATCTTCATAAGGAAGCAAAAATACAGCTTGTTTTCTTACCTTGGATTTAAAGGACATCATAAAAGAAGGCACCAAGAGAATAAAGCACTTGAAGCCCATGAAGAGGAATTTCAGAATAAAGTCTGTGACTCCGACAATCCAAAGTACCTCCCAGAAGTTTATTAAATCCACAGTAGGGTTTAAAAAGATTAAGCTACAAAAAGAATTATCAGAAGTTACTGGAGCACCCTATTTAGAGGAAAGCATAACCAGAGATTATCACAGCAGGTTTAATTAAAAAAGGAAACCTGGTTTACATAGAAGAAAATTAGTTGCCAAGAAAATACTAATCAATTATTTCAGTGATTGCAAGCCGATCATTTATGATCTGTGACAGCCTTTCAGTGTTTGAACCTCCCTTCCTGTACCTTCATCACAGCCCCCATCCTCTAGAGACAGGCTTGCTTTCCCATTTTAGCAGTACAGCCTTTGACCGGTTTACAGCCAAGCCTGTAGCTACAGAATGGTAAGGGAAAAAAAATAAACTGGAGACGAACTCCACAGAGCCCCAGAATGCCATATTCAGTGGGAGGGTCAAAGCCAGGGATCAAACCCAGCTACACTCCCCACAGTACAGTAGTACTATGAAGTTGAGTATGGGGGTCTAATCCTGCAAATTCCAAACCACTGTTTTTAATGACAGCACCTGTTCAGTTTGGCAGAAGAGGAAGAAAGGAGATCAAAATGAAAGAGAAACAAACGCCTCTATTAAAGAGAAACAGCAACAGCCTAGATAAAATGTTCCCAATTATTATTTATGAGTAATTTATGATGTGAGAGATGTTCCTCTACTCACCTGTAATACAGTGACTGAGAAAGAAAGGTGTAATACAAGAGGAGAGATGATCCAGTTAGGTATACTAGTAACCAAGCACACTGCAACTTGGAACACCGTTCCTGTAAGATAATGGTAAAGATATATTACAGTCCTTAGCTGAGTATCAGTGTCTTAATTGACGGATAAAGGTCTTGGTTAACTTACAGACTTTTGTTGCATAGGGTGATACTTACTCTTAGAAAAACCTGATTTACTATGCTTTTGTTTGCATACATATAAGTTGTTAGCAGCCCAATTCCAAGAGAAATGCCTATTAGGAAAAAAGGGTCAGTTATACACAAGAAAATAAAGAAATTTATTCAACTGGGTTGAAGAACCAGCTACTTCTAATATATCTTTGTAATTACAATTAATAGCTCAGACTATCATGCCAGAATAATTAAGTGCACTGTACATATACCAGCAAAGGAAACGCCACTGAAATGTAGTTTAGTAAATCTCTCTTTCTGATTAATAAAGCAAATAAAATCTAAAAATAAATTGAATTATATTTCAGGCATGGTTATTCGTATATCTCGTTGGGGGGGAGGGTCTGTTCCCTCAGACCTTATTTTGTTATACTCTACCAATTATATGCTGCGTGATCAATTTGACACACAGAATCAAGATATACGGCAGACTTTTGTGCAGCCACTGGAGGAGGTATCTGAGTTCTGAGAGGGAGCTGCCGCTGTGTTCCTCTGAGTCTGGAGGGGAATCGTTGAGCCCCCCTGCTTCGCTGTGGGCATGTCCGTGTGAGCGACTTTGGGACCCTGGCCTCGAATGCCGCGAACTCGCGTCTTCTCGGGCTTCTCCCACCGCAGAGGTTAGCTGTATGCGAACATCTCCGCTATGATGGCACGAGCTGTCTCCTGACAGCCTCGCTGCGTGGGCGCTCTGAGAAGATGAAGAGTCATCACCACTCCCTTGGATGTTGTGGAGATGACTGTAGTTTGGTTGCATGGTGAGATTTTTTTTCTGGTCCAGATTCTTGCTACTTTGTCTCCTATAGTGGAATAGGAAAAGTCACAGCTAAAGGAGGAGCTAACGAGTTCAGGGGAAAAAAACCCACAAAGACCCAACAGAAAAAACACAATAGATTGTACTGAGTGATTGCCTGCATGAAGCAAAGCAGAGATCCTCTGACAGATGCTGTCTTCGTTGTGAAAGCTGGCATACTGGGTTTGCGCCCTGTCTCCACGGGCGCAACTTTCCGTGTGCCATATTAAATGGCTTCCTTTCATTCACGTGCAGATTTTCTAGCCTGCGGTGAACCTGGCTGCCTGAGTAAAATCTGAAGTTGCTTCAGTGCAAATCAGAACAGCAAAAGCTGCTGAATAGAAGCCCAGCACTAGCTTGTGCAGCAGATATCTCAGAAGTGCTGCATAATTTCACAAAAATAGTAACAGTAGTAGGGCAAAGAATGAGCAAACAATGATGGGAAGGAAGCAAAGAGTATATTTACATGCATCCGTGAAGTGGTAAGCATTTGTTCAGACAAGTCTGGTCAAAAGCCAGTGCATGCTCAAAATTGAGGGCCATTATGAGATTAACGAGATTATCCTGTCTGGGTAAGTGAGCAGAACCAGGTTAGTCCATTTTGTAAGATGCATTTAAAAGAGCCTGGACTGTACAGTCTAGGTGAAAAAAGTAGTGCAGCCAACAGTAATCTAACAGCGAGACCACCCAAACGAGGTCACATTTATCTTTTCTTTGGCATCTTTCTGTTCTCATCCTGGGCTGTTACTCGCTTCTGTGTCAGTCTTTATATTGGTCAAATAGGGTTAAACCTACTTCTCTGGACTGGTGTGACAGCAGAGTAACGATTTTGGAGAATGCTGTGAAGCTGGATTTGGCACAGTACTTGTCACTATCGAATAGTATTATTGAAACCCTGAGAATTTTGTTATAATCCTTTTACTGTAATTCAGACTCTTCAGATTCCTCTTTGAAATTATCTTTTCCAAAGCTTAGTGTACATACACAGCTAGTTTCACTGGGGATACAAAAAGGTTAAAGCAAAATTGGTTTTGCACTGCAAAAAGTTCTTCACATATTTGCACAAGCCTAGAATTCTTTAGCTTTTAAAGTGGAGATTGTATTAACAGAGTAAGTTGCATGAATTTAAACAATATCCAAAGAGGGGAACTTACTGCCACACTGCCGCTACTACTGTATTTGTGTCGGCCAAAGATTACATCATACTTCAACCCAGCCAAAATTCACGTTCTGTAATTTTATGCACATGAACAAAGCCAATAAACCAGAGATAGCATTGACTTGTGTGAGCAGAATTACCCCGTGTGTCCGCAGGGTCAGGCCACGAATGCTCTTTTTAAAAGGAGAGAAACAGCAATAATAAAGCAACCCTCATCAGCACCCTGGAGTTAGTGGCTTAGGGCCTGCTTCTGCAACAACTTACAGCTCGGTGTTTAAAAAACACCCAGTGAGCGATCCCCTCGCTGGCGTCGAGCAGCTTCCCTCGGCCCTCTGCCCGACAAACTTTCGGGTAACCAAGTTACCGAACGGCGTTTCCAAGCGCCAGAAACCCGCGCGCAGCGGCCGGCTC